GCGTCTCTAACCATCGATTATTATCATCTCGCGGACCCCAACCAGGTAGTCGACAATTACCGACATGACTCAGTCCACTTGTCAGTGACTTCATGGATTTCTGCCATGTTTTGGTTTGGCCGCCCCTAACTTTCTTCCAACCTACTCCTACACTACAAAACAAAGCTCGACGAGGCAGTCGGTGATTAGGCATACGCATGACATGTCCCAACCACCTCAACTGATGAAGTTTCACTACTTTATCTATTGATCTGCCATCCTTACCTAGCACCCGTTTCCTAATGACAGCATTGCTCACTCGGGTGTCCCACGATATACGAGCAATGCTTCGAAGATACCTATGATCGAAAACCAGTAACCTACGAACATCTTGTACTCTCACTGGCCATGTTTCACAGCCATAAACTAAGACGGAGCGAACCACTGCGCAGTACACTCGTCCCTTAGTCAGCAAACGGATATCTCGCCTACGCCATAAGTGACGCAGGTTGACAAAAGACAATCGAACCTTCTGTATCCGAGCTGAGATTTCGTCAGTCACCATGCCATCAGCACTGATGAGACTCCCCAAGTAAGTGATGCGGTCAACACGCTCGACTACTTTACTCCCTATCACTAGTTCAGGTGCCGATGCAACCCAATCTTGAAGCAACAATTTGCATTTCGAGGGGGAAAACCGCATCCCGAGCATGCTTGCATTGTTGCTGAGGGTAGTCAGAAGACTCTGCACATTGTCAGCGTCTTCACCAAGTAGGAAAATGTCATCGGCATATTCTAAGTCAATAAGCGAGCCACCTGGTAGAAGGTCTACTCCTGAAAATTCAGACGAGGATAAGGTTATTTCTAGGAGCATGTCTATGATAAAATTAAACAAAAATGGAGAAAGTGGACATCCCTGACGGACACCACTTGAAGTGAGGAATTCCGGTGACAGTTCGCCATAAGCTCTCACTCCACCAATGATGTTCGAGTAAAGAGCTTGTATGAGGTTAATGTACTTCTTTAGTAAACCTTTCAATGACAGACACTGCCACAGAACCTCACGATCCACTGAGTCAAATGTCGCTTTTAGGTCCAGAAAAACAACTATTGTAGGACGCCTAAATGTGTGTCTGTGTTCCAGGACCTGTCTGAGTGTGAAGATGTGGTCTATACAACCACGTCCAGGTCGAAAACCAGATTGGTTTTCTCGAGTTTGCTCTTGACGAGCTTTCGTTAAGAGCAAACTCTCACATGATATTTGCTTTCTGATTAATTTTACTTAGCTAAATTTCTCTACATTTGAAGGTTATGTGATGTGATGTGATGTGATGTGTTGTTTACTGAGTTACGAAAGTTCTACCGATTCGTTTTTGTTCGACTTGTCCTACTTCGTCGAATATCAAATTCCTTGTAATTCCTTTTTCTTCCTAATGTTTAGCCATTGGGTGTTGTGATGTATTGTGTATAAATTGTCGTTGAACAATACACATTTGTGTGAAAAATATGTTATACTGATGTTACGCATGCACGTAAACACGTCAGTTTGATATGCTTGAACTATAATACGAGTTTACCTTAGTCGGGAAACGAGAGCGAGGATCGATGATCCGGTGACACGACATGCTACTCTAATCCGATTGTCTCGAACCCCCATTGAGTACAAGAAGAAGACTTGATGATGAAGTAGAACATGTAATCTACAAGTATCCAGAAAGTACAAGGTCCGAGTCCAGAAGAGGATAAGGATCCCGGACTAAGGATCCGGGTCCGGGTCATAAAACGTTACAGATAATGCGTATTTATACAGTTAGGTCGAATAAGAAACAACATTTGAAGTTTGTGACATTGATATCTAGGACGACCATAATAATCGACCAGTAGGAATTGACCAATAGAATTAGACTTACGAAAATAATTCTCTTAGGATGTTTGATGAATAAATATCCTAACATTTTTACGTCTGGTGTAGATTCTTTCAATGTAGTCATTATGATACATGTAGAATATGTGGAATAGATCAAATATGGCCAGCAGTTGAATCCAGACGGAGAATATACAAACCATTATGTCAGAATATCTTGAGTGTTCATCGATAATTAGGCTCATAATAACTAAGCTGGTAATGTCTATTAAGAGCTCATTACTCTGCACATAGTCGACAAACATAATTAATTATTCGGAATACGATTCTCTCTCTAGAAATTCAAAATGTTGCTTTAGGATAGGCTTCAATTGGCATTTGGCCTAATGATAGAAAATGAAGTAGTTGAGCGTGTTGACCGCTTCACTTATCTCGGGACTCTTATCAATGCTGATGACTTGGTGACTTAGGAAATCTCAGTACGGACACAAATGACTCAATTGTGTTACGTATGTCTAACCACTGACTACCTCGTCGAACTATGTTTTGCGGTGTAGAAGTAGGTTGGAATAAAGCTAGGGGCAGACAAAACCAAACATGACACAAATCCATGAAGTCACTGACAACTGGAGTGAGTCATGTTGGCAGATGTAGACTACCTGATTTGAAGTCCACGAGATAATAGTAATCGATGGTTAGAGACCTTGAATGACATGTCTCAAAACCGTTTACAATGGTGCATGTGCATTCATTCTTCATATTCTCTTAAATCCTAATTATGACAGTAAATACACGTTCCATAAAAAGGTCACTGTATAGTTGTTAATAGGTTCAACTAGTTGACTCGTATTCAAAATAAAGAGAAAACACGAACCATCTCTATTCTACTCTGTATAATTAACAGTATCAACACATTGTGAATATAACCTACTAGATATCGATTAATCCGATTGACACAACTCTTTTTTTGGTGACCAATCGTGATTGGTTGTCGGTTGTTTTAAATTGTTTTTCACAATATTCACAATATTACTCGTTGTTAATTGACTGTGTTCTGATTGAATTATGCTTCCAGGGTTAGGGTATCATCGAGTTAATACTTGTCCATTTGATAAAAAATACATATATATACATGGTGAGTGTGGATAGATTGAAGTTGGGTTAGAGTTAGCTCATAGAGTAAGTAGACTAGCAAGTAGTACATTGTGTTTGTGTCTCTGTATGTGTATACTACGATGTTGGTTGATGTGGTGTTTCCGTCTAGACAGACGCACACACAGAGTACTATCATTGATGAATAGTTATTTTTCTCCAATATAGAAATACACAAAGTTTAATAGTAGTATAGTGAGATTTTTAAAAAATTAAATGACTCATTTCATATATATATATAACCAGATCAATATCGATATTCGTACTCACCCTCGATAGTATATAGTTATGATAAAGATTTATAGCTAGGAACTTTGTATATACTACTGACCAAACTTGAGTGTAAGTTCGTCCGTATTAATGCCTTGTGTAGTTTGAGCAAACATGGAAGTGTAGCAATAGATCACTT